ACCTATAGTTATGATCAATGATTTGCTTCAAGAGTTAAGTGAAGAAAATACAAGACTTTTGAGTGAATTATTATTTATGAGACAATGTTTTGATGTCTTAAATGAGTTTCAAATATATTTGAATAAAATATTGAGTTTTAAGACAATTCTGAAAGACTTGAATCACTTATCACTCGAAGACATCCAAAGACTCGAAGTATTGGACAAAAAATTCAATGTCATTATCACTGAAACTAAAAAACACAACAAATTAGAGATTAATTCAAACTTCAAACGACTGCTGAATAAACCGAAGAATTATGAGGAGATAATTACGGCCACAATTGACAACACATTCAGTGACGAAGACATCACTGATACAGAAGATTATTCCTCAAGAAATATCACTGAAACTGATGTCCATTTTCAACAGACATCACAAATCTATTCGCAATATAATGAAGAAGTTGTTGACACAAAAGAGGGGATAACTGGTGTAAACATTGACAACACATCCAATGGTTTTGAGTTTATGAGTGAAAAACACAGACAAATGACACCAAAGAGTCTGCCATTGAATGCATCGACAGATGGGTTGAACACAACAGAAACTAATACCCAATTAATGACTGTTCCTGTGATTGTCTGTCCGATTAGCGGATGTGACCTAATGTTTATGACACTTGAATTACTGGAGCAACACTTGACCACACATTCCTTTAGAAGTAAACAATTGTCACGAAGTAAACAATCGAAGCGCAAAACTGTGTCAAATGCGGGCCAAAGCCAAACACCAGGCGCTGCGGCGACGGATCTGTTGCGCTGTCCGCACGAGTCGTGCCGTCAAAGAGGTTTCAAGCACTCGAGGAATCTGATCGCTCACACGCAACGCCAACACTCGACACACGAGCCGTACGTTTGCGACGAAGACAACTGTCGGAAGCGATTCCCGACCCGTAAAGGCCTTTTGAGGCATAAGTCGCTGAGCCATGAAAAGGGCCGACTGTTTGTGTGTCCGCACAGCGGGTGCGGCAAAGCGTTTACCAAACGGTGGTCTTATAGCGAGCACATCACCCGACACTCGACGCACACCCCGTTTGCGTGCACTCATACCCCGTGCGAACACCGGTTCGCTACTAAGAAGCTGTTGGAACTACACGTCCGTCGCGTTCATTAGAAACATTATTTGGTTGTATAGATTTTATATAATTACGGTAATTAAAAATGATTTTTAATTAAAAGTATATTTATTACTTAATTTATCACATTTCACAACACTTACAACACAACACTTGGTCTCATCTGTTGTGAATTGTTGTTTTAATTTGTATTTTATTTTGTATTTAACTATTTATTACTAAATTGTAAAGAATGTGTTATTAAATTTAATTATTTTTTAATTGTATAAATATTTGAACTGATTTTTGACTAAAAAAAGTTTTTGAATAAAATGTTGCGTTTTTTTTACTTTAGTTAACTATATGTGCAACCAATTCTAGGACCTTTATCTTTAGGAAAAAGTCAACACACACACCATCTGTGAGTCAATACCAGTCAATACACGATATCAAGCTTTAGTACAGTTAATGCTATTTCATTA